TTTGCTTACGGCATATCAACCTGTTGTAGAGTAGTTTTCAATGGAGGCTTGTATTTCAATAAGTCGTCCTAAATTAGGTTCGACGTACAAAACGTTAGGAACTTGAAATAAGAGTTAATGACGCAGCAATCTAGTTGTGATGGTTGATACTTCAATGTCCGACATCGACTGACTCCTCTCAAACTCCACTGAGCCAACTGGCGACCGCTACTACTACTACTTATTATCTGTGGGAGAGTCTATTAATAATAGAATAGGTATTGTTCAGGTATAACAAAACATCAACCATTATTTAATGCTAGACAACATTTTTATGATAGATTCTGGATGAATTTTTTTCATATATTCTTATATTTAATGAATCGTTTGGTTTATTTTGTTTAACAAACATAACTGTGACTCAATGGGGTTATTTAATAGAATATTTACTATTTTTATTACTGGAATAATATTTTGTTTGTCAAAAACATTTCTGGCTATTTTTGCCATTAAAAAAAAATTGAGATGGTAATAATTTTTTACCAAAATCCTATTAGTAATATTTATTTTTAAAAACATTGTTGGTAATAAACCACAAAATAATATTGATGGTAAAAGTTTTTTTTATTTACCATGCATTTTGATATTAAAAATATATTTTACATCCAGACCCTAGTGTTTTTAGAGTTTTTGGTTGAGGTTTTTATTTAACATTTACCCCATCCTAGATAATGTAATAGCAAGATTCTGTCAAGGATGGACCTGAGAATACCAAGTAAAAGGTAGTTCCATGTTTTTTAAAAAAAAAATTACAGAGGCCTTTCTGTTGAATAGGGTCGTCATACCCAAAACGCGGATGTAGTTTATCGTCTTACGCATGATATGCGAATTAAGTTTATCGTCATACCCAAGACGTTTTTTTTAGATAAATAATTATTTAAAACATTTTTCATGTTAAACAAAATTAAAGAATTGATATTAAAATCGTAAGAATTGATTTTTATAAAGGATATTTTTGCAGTAAATGTCCTTGAGGATGAAATTCTCTGACATATGAAGCGTGATCGACGAAGAGTCATTTTGATAAATATTTGTGGATTTCGAATATGCAATTTTGAAATGGAAAATTGAAAAGCATTGGGAAAACAATTGTTCAAGAATTGCAGGTTATGAAAAACCATCTGAAAGGCCATTTCCTTAATCTAATAGCAAGCTTTCAAGCCAGCCTTAACTTGACGTCATGCCAAAAATACCCGTGTCTGTTTAATAATTATAGATTCAGATCATCTTAGTTGAAAAGACAAAATGGTACACATTTTAATCCGTAAGAATTTATAATATAATCTTTTGATACTTAATCAAGGAACAATTTATAACTTTTCCCTAAGCCTGATCAATGTTCTATAAATCTTTTAAATTTCATTAATGGTTCACAGAAGAAATATTTGGCGCCATAGATGGACGCCGAAATGGCAAAATAAAGAAAAATAAAAATGTAAAAATTTCGATCAATCCTCCTTTTATCTTATTATTTGACACACACACACACACACACACAATACAAACACACAAATTGTTAAAAATATTGATATATATCAATATCATAACTGTTATTATGGTGTCCATAAAATTAGTGTACTAACTTTAAATAATTTATAAGTTTATTTTTATTTATTTGAAATAATTTAAAAAAGGATTAGAATTTCATTATTTTCTCGAATTTTTCAACAACTAATTTAAAAAATGCCTGAAATCAATTAGTTATTTTTTGCATACTTAAAACTAGGTACATTAAATATTTATAAAATTTTTTACAGATTATTTCTATCGCAAATACAAAAAAAGTTATACATTTATAAAGTGAACACGAAATTTATGGACACCCTGTATATATATGGGAGAGGTAAAACAAAAACAAATCACGGCAAAAATATCATGGAAAATAAGAAAAAAACATCAGTCAGCAACAATAAATACAGCAATTGGGAACTCAGTCTAGAGGAGGAAATATCTATAATCACTTTCCCAGTCCAATACAAATTATTAAATAAACGATCAGAACTCAACTCAAAATACAGACATGAATACAATTTTAATAAGTTACTTAAAAATCATTTAATAAACAAAAATATCTGGATAAAAAAATAAGAATAAAAAATTAATTCAAAAAACTAAATAATTAAATGAATTAAGTTGTAATAAACACATATAACATACTATTTTGTTAAAGATGTCATTAAATACAACACTATAAATAATATAAAAAAAAAAACTCAAATTTATATCCTTTATTATTTCCATTCAATAGCCTCTAGAAAAATTCAAAAAATAATTAAATCTAAACAACGAAAATAACAAATTAACAACAATACAATAGACTTTAACTAATTTTGTTTCCTAAAATATAAATTGATCCAGTTTTATTTCATATATTTTATATGATGATTGTTTTTTTTATGGATTTTTTTATCGTTAACCTCTTGAATTATTTTCTTTATATTTTTTTTCAATATGATTTAATTTGTCAGGACGTAAAAGACAATTGTTTCCAATAATTTTCCTGTTCTTTGTACCTTTAAAATTTCTGTTTTTTTTTTGATTGGGAACCCTAAATTAAAATCCATTTAAAAAAAATCAAGTATGTTTACAATAAAAAAATCCTCTGTCCTATTTATAAAAAAATATGGGAAAGTATAGTTTCTAAAATCTTTTCAATTATGTGGCTTTGAATTTTCCCTTGTCTCTTCCTTTTTTATATATATTTATCTCTCCATCTATCATTATATTTTCCAAAAATTTATTTTATAAAAATCTATCTATCTATATATCTATATATAAATATTTCTCTCTTTCTTATCTATATATATATATATATATATATATATATATATCGTTTTCTATTCATTTTCGTCTGCATATATCTCTTGCTAATCTATCTAATTTAAAATTGTTCATATAAATTCTTTTATCTATTTAATTATCACTGGGGTACACATGTATTATAAATAATTCATGTATAAATGCTTGTATAGTAACAAGAATGTCCTCCGATGAAGCATCGAATTTTGATTTTATAATATCTATCTATCTATCTATCTATTTCTATCTATCTATCTATCTATCTATTATTTCTGTCTTTCTCTCTGGGTTTTTTTCACAGATATATTTATCCCTATATAACTTTGTGTATTCAAATATATCTATCTAAATCTATCTATCTATCTATCTATCTATCTATCTATCTAATCTATCTATCTATCTATCCATTCTATTATCAATGAAACTCTTTTATCTCTATTTGATCACATATATATATTTTATCCTATATAAATTTTGTATTTTTTATCTATTCTATTTATTCATATCTATCTATCTATCTATCTAATCTATCTATCTATCCTTTCTGTTTTCTCTCTGGGTTTGATCTATCTATATATACTTTATCCCAATATACCTTTGTAAATTTAAAATTTAATTCATCTATCTATCTATCTATCTATCTATCTATCTATCTATCTATCCTTTCTGTCTTTCTTTAGTGGGTTTGATCATGATTTATATACTTTAATTTATATATATTTTTTTTATTTTTCAAATCTATCTATTTATCTATCTATCTATCTATCTATCTATCTATCCTTTCTGTTCTTGCAAAAAGGTTTGATATTCATATATATTTTATCCCTATATATTCTTTACTTTTCAAATCTATCTATCTATCTATCTATCTATCTATCTATCTATTTGTATCTATCTATTTATTTCCTTTTGTCTTTATCTTTATTTTATCAAGATATATACTTTTATCCCTATATATTTGTATTCAAATTAGATCTATCTATTTAGCTATCTATCTATCTATCCTTTCTGTCTTTAAAAAATAAATCAATATAAATGGTAAACCCTATATTATAGATTGTGTATTCAAATCTATCTATCTATTTCTATCTATCTATCTATCTATCTATCTATCTTTTCTATCTATCTATCTATCTTTTCTCCTTCAACTTTGTCTGGGTTTTTATCTGTTCAGATATATTTGTTTTTTTATCAAGATATACCTTTGTGACCATTTCTATCTATCATTCTATCTATCTTTCTATCTATTATCTATCTATCTATCTATTCTATCTAATTTTCTCTCTGGGTTTGATCAAATATATACTTTATCCCTATATACCTTTGTGCATTCATTTCATCTATCTATCTATCTATCTATCTATCTATTATCTATTTATCTATCTATCCTTTCTGTCTTTCTTCTATTTATCACATATATATAAAAATCTTTATATATATTTGTGTATTAAAATTCTTTATCTATCTATCTATCTATCTATTTCTATCATCTATCTATCTATCTATCTATCCTTTCTGTGTTTCTCTCTAAAAAACGATTTTTATTGATTACTTTATCCCAATATAAAATCTTTATATTATCAATCTATCTATCTATCTATCTATCTATCTATCTATCTATCTATCTATCTATCTATCTATCTATTATTATCTTTCTTTCTTGTTTGATCACAGATATTATAATGGAAAAGATTTTTTATATACCTTTTTGTATTCAAATCTATCTATCTATCTATCTATCTATCTATCTATCTATCTATCTATCTATCTAAAATCTATCATCTTTCTATCTATCTGTCTATATTTATATTTATTTCTATATACAAAAACGTGTATTCAAAAAATATCTATATATATATTAATTTATTCATTCATATATCTATATATCTATCTATCTATCTATCTATCTATCTATCTATCTATCCTTTATATTTTTCTAATGCATGGGTTTGATCATTTTATATACTTTATCCCTATATACCTTTTTGTAAATTCTATCTATCTATCTATCTATCTATCTATCTATCTATCTATCTATCTATCTATCTATCTATCTATCCTTTCTTTCTTCTTTCTAAACTGAATTTGATATTATTATATATTTATTTCTGTATATATATTTGTTATATTCACAAATCTATCTATCTATCTATCTTCTTCATCTATCTATCTATCTATCTATCTATCTATCCTTTCTGTCTTTCTCTCTACATTGAAAAGATATAAGAATCCATCCTATACCTTTGTGTATTCAAATTCATCTATCTATCTATCTATCTATCTATCTATCATCTTTATATCTATCTATCTATCTTTCTGTCTTTCTCTCTGGGTTTGATCAATCTATATACTTTATCCCCATATACCTTTGTTAATATTCAAATCTATCTATCTATCTATCTAGTTCCTTATTTATCTATCTATCTATCTATCAATCATCTCTTTATCTATCCTTTCTGTCTTTTATTTTGTTGAAATTTGATCATATATATATACTAATTATCTCCTATATACCTTTGTAAATTCAAATCTATCTATCTATCTATTCGTCTATCTATCTATCTATCTATTTTTTTATTATGCTCCTATTCAACTCAGTCTCGTTTCTTTGATTACCGTCTATCTAAGTCCGCTCTTATATTTCGTCAAATCATACAGCATCTTGTATCTATACGGCTATATTAAAGAGGATTTGAAATACAAAGTAAAAAAATTTCGTAAAAAGTAGGACAAAATCAAACGTCAAAGTAACGTTTGAAAATCACACGAAGAAAACATTTGGACTTGAATACATTTTACAAAACAAATAATTTTTTTTGTTGGAAGACCTTTCAAAAATAAAAAAAAAAAACAAGGGTTTTCTTATTTCTTGCTTATGTACAATGTCTGGAATCCATTTTCATTTTTCCAGAAAGTCTATAAATAATACAATTGACGATGTCGTCCTGATGATTATTTGGTACATAATTTTCCCTCCCTAAATGTCTTCGGAAACCTCTGAAGACAAGGAACATGGCTCTCTATAGAGTCATTCAAAACATTTCGCAAAGATTCTGTTCACATCAAAACATAAGTAAATAGAATAAAACAAAATGGATAAGGGTGGATAGAGATGTGGGGGCCCTAATTTCACGGCTCATTCACAGGCGTTGAAAATAAGTTGACAATTACACACTCACCTACAGTGTACTCATTCTTTAGGTTTAAGTATTTTTTTCATAATTTTAGAAAAATTCGAGATGTTTGAATTATCGATAAAAACATCCTGGTAATGAAAAAAAGGCCAAATCTGGAATACAATTTTTGGAACATTACAGATCATTGTAACAAAAAAACACATATATATATATATATAAATATATATATATATATTTTTTTCAACATATGAAAATTTTAAAAATTAAAATCTTCAGACATTTATTTTGTATTAATATTCTTTACTTTTTTATTATTTCATTTAGATTCCTTTTTTGTTTCAGCCTGCATAAAATAATCAGGAAAAAATAAAACCCTGTTTGTTCATGGAATTTGAATTAAAGGAATGAATAACTTTCTGAATAAAAAATGTTTTATCTGTAAATTTCATTTGTTTTTTATCGTTAATTTTTAAAAAACATTTTCCAGTTGTTGACTAAGATAAGGCCTGGATAGATTCATGTTCCTCTGAATCCTTTTTTTTGAATATATATATATATATATATATATAGGTTTGTCTGGCTCACTAGGTTTATCTAGGTCTGCTCTACGGTTGTATTGAGCTATTTTTTTTTGCCAGTTAGTTGTTTAAAATGTGTTTTTTTTTTTTTTGGGCAAAAAACTGTATCAAACCTGTTTTTTTTTTTTCAGACTTTCATGTTTCTAGCTCTTTCTTTTTTTATAAAACCTTTTTTCCTCAAGATTGATTTGATTATTGGCAAATCAAAAATTCGAAAAATTTTTGAATAAATCTATATAGTTACCTATATATATATATATATATATATATATATATATATATATATATATATATATATATTTCATATATGTATTGTTAACAGTCTGTTTCATTTTCAGATGCAATCATCAATTGATTCTAGCATGAAACAGACTCTGTCGCCTCTAAGTTTTGAAATTGTTCAATTTTTTATATTTACACACGCTTTATTTTTTATGATATTCAATACTTTCTCCCATAAATTATAACACACCTTAAAATATATATTTTATTCATATATATATATATATATATATATATATATCGTGTGTATATTTTACATGCCTTGAATAAAACACTACACACACGCACACACACACAGACATTAATATACACAAATTTCTCACACACATGTATTTTCGCCCTTTCATTTTTATAAACAAGGAGGCATGGTGGAAAAATATTGATATTAATTGTATTGAGGAATCACATTTAAGTTCGAATTCAGTCGAATTTTTGCATTCAAAAATATGCTAACGTGCTATCCTTTTATGAATATAATGAATCCTCTTTTCTCCCTATAACAGCTCTGGGTAAAAAAGCAGGACAGACCGTGTTCTATAGCCTTTGATGGCATATATTGTCTATATATAAGAAAGAAATTATAACCTGTGCGGAAATAAAATAATTCCTTCGTCATCATGTATGAAAAGAGATATGATCGCCTAAACGGGTATCACGTATACATAAATAAAAACATATCTATTTATCTATAACTATCTATCTATCTATCTATCTATCTATCTATATATAAAATATATATATATATATATATATATAAAAATTTTTTACCTGAAGACGGTTTGCGAGACCAGACCAGAAACACGTGTCGTGAAATTATGTAAAACAAAGTATAATATTTTTTCTCAATAAATCCACATTACAACCAAAAACGTTTACGCATCACCCCTTCTTTTTTTAATATACATACTTTTCTCTCGTTGGAACCACTACAACATATTTCTTTTATATATATATATATATATATATATATATATATATATATATATATATATATATATATATATATATATATTCTTACATTTTGACAAAAGCAATTCCTCAAATACAAAGATGCATTCTTGTTTCGATGCCTGATGTTTTCTTTGGTGAGAAAACAAAAATGGTTACGGACAATTCTAATTTTAATTATTGCTCTATTCTTGGTATTGAGCCATCTTTTAATTAATGCCGTGAACGTAAGAATTCTTGGTGCTTTCGGTCTCATTACATTATATATATATATATATATATATATATATATATATATATATATATATATATATATATATATATTAAAAAAATGACAATTGGGAAAAAATCTTAGATTTTGCCAAAACGTTTCGTCTTCCTACTTTTTTCAAGGCAAAATGAAATCGAAATGTTTTTTGTTAAATAGTTGCATTAAAAATCAAAATTTAAAAAGATAGACGCTTGTGTCTAAGGCTTTTTTTCTGGTTAATGTAAATTACCTTTATAGTGAGGGATTTTTTTTTTTTTCGTCGACAATATAGTTAAATTCCCAGATCAATTCAGTGGACAAGACAGATTGGTATAAAATGACAATTGGAAAAAAATCTTAGATTTTGCCGACGCGTTTCGTCTTCCAACTTTTTCAACTTTTTTTTTTTTAAAAAAGTCGAAAGATCTAAATCTAAGGTTTTCCCAATTTTTTAACTATATATATATATATATATATATATATATATATATATATATATATATATATATATATATATGATAGAAATTAATGAGGATTTGAGATAATTAAGTAATTTATCGAGTGTCCTCCTTAATTTCTATCATTTGTATATCTTTCCTTGAACCGGCTTCTAATGCTCTGGATGGAGCGGCTTGGTGATGGTAGTCGTGGCTCTCGGAGGCACAGTCCTATGCGTAAAGGAAACTTGGATGAGTTCCACCACGGAATATGTGAATGAGCGGCGCAATATCGAGTCTAGTTCGCTACCTCTTCGTCACCGAGGCCCTTTGGTACAGTTGGTATGACGTTTTCCTGTCAATGTAAATGTCAGGGTTTCAATTCTCGGTAGTGGATGCGCACTGCTGATGAGTCCCAAATATAGGACGAAACGGCCGTCCAGTGCTTTCTGCATTCTGTTGAGGTTTCTCCTAGACTCGATGGATTAATTAATATATATATATATATATATATATATACATACATACATACAAACAATTGGAAAACGTTCATGAAATTATATCTGTAAATTTAGCTTTCGATTTACATGATAAGAAACCTATTTAAAAAATGTAATAAAAATATCTTTTCGGGACTATATACTTTCGTGAACGTTTTAAAATTGCCAATAATTCATTACTCTGTCAGGATCATGTAACCGATTTTTTTAATATACTGTCAACATGAAGAATGCATGGATAAAAATATTATATTTCTCAAATCGGAAACTTAAAGCAAAGAAGATAAATGCTAACGACTTTCCTTTTAAAAGTCACTCATTTTCTTTATTTATTTATAGTCAAGACCAACCCCCAGCTTGGGGAAAAATAATAAGATTTAATAGACATACACAACTACGCACACATGAAACTTAGTTTTCGCTTTCGATGTAATGGAGCCTAAACGGCGAAATACATACATTTATAGATACATAAACATTACGTAAAGACTATGAGAGGTACGTAGATGCCAAGACTAGATAGATGGATATATATGAAAAATCTGTAATAGATAGATAGATAGAAGAAAAAAACAAAATAAATAGATATTTTTAAGATAATATTATGATAAAGGAGGTGATAGATAGATTGATGGATTCATAGATAGATAGATAAAATATGGATAGAATAGATAGATTCATAGATTGATTTATATTTTTACATGCATACATTATATAGATATATAGATATTAAAAGATAAAGACTGTGATAGTTTTTAAAGACTAAATAGATGAATATATATATATAAAGGTTTTAACAGACAGACAATGATAGATAGATAGATAGATAAAATTGATAATAGATAGATAATATTATATAGATAGAATAATATATACATACATATGATGTAAATAGATATATAAATATATGATAGGTAAATTTAAATTTACATAGTTAAATATGATAAACAT